ATATAAATCAATTATAAATAAAGTTAATCCACTTCAATTTTTTTCTAGATTCTTTACTTAAATAAAATTACCTAAATAAAGCAATTAGTAGTTTAGCTAACAAAAAAATCAAATATTCATATACATCATTTGTTTAAAAGATAGTACTTTGTATTTCAATAGAGATCTTGTTAGTTTGGTACCTTATCTTCTTCATTATTATATTGCTTTTATTTTCATTTAATATGTAGTATTGCATTAGAGACGACATCCATATCTATGTGTGTTTATACGTATAATCTGATTAAAATTATTAATCATCCGATATTTCATAATGTATATTAAAAGTAGAATCCTTAAAAACCTTAAAATTTTAATGAGCAAATCATCATATAAAAATTAACATGGATTTTTTTTCTAAAGATTTAATTTTTTCTTCGTCGTGTGTAACACGAAACAATGTACAACTAACTATGTTGTCCATTAAATTATAGATGAACGATGATAGATATATCTTACATCAATATCATTCAGCTTAGAGATATATATTGTTGAATAAGACGTGCTTATCAAAACGAAAAACATCCGTTACCTTTTTTACATTAGAAAGATTAATTTACTAAGAAGGAAAAGGCACAAAGAATTATCTTCATTCTTAAATTATGTTGGTATTATATAATTAGGTATTATATAATTAATTTAAATTGTTATTATTGTTAATCTATAAATAAATGTCACTGCTCCATAAACAATATCTTCTTTGTTAATATATAATTAAATATTTTAAACAATTTTTCAAACATGTAAGTACAAAGTATACGTTTTCTGTTCAGCAAAGAACGATTCAAGATGACTTTTAACTATAGATTAATATGAAAATAATTTCAATCATCCGTCCGTTTATAATTTAAAATGATTGTAAGACGATGCAATTTTAGGGAAGAAAGCAATATTTGAATATGAACATTATGAACAGATAATTATTTTAGATATAGATTTATATAGGTTGTTATAATGGTTAAAATTAAAAAAATAAATAAATAAAAGCCCCAAAAGAATTTTTATAGGACAATATATAATAGAACAGTATACAATATATTTATCGATAAGTGTTGACATGTCCAAATAGAAATAAAAGATAAGAAAAGATATTTTATTGTAGAAATAAGATACTCACGAAATATTTTCGAAGATACTTTCGAAATGTGATGCTGATATAAAATATTATCTAGAGTGTACGTCTAGATAATTAATCCACGAAAAAAAGAAAAGAGAAAAAGAAAAATAAAGAAAGAGAACAGGATGTGAATTGACCAGAATCCACTAAGCTGCGCACCGGCTGACAGGTTCGTCCAATCAATCCTACGACATCATTTGATTCCTCCTGGATCGTTTGTGTCTTCTTGTTGCTTTTTTTAATCATAAAAAAAAGAAAGAAAAAAAAAGAAACAAGACGAGTCACTCACGCGTACGCGACGCACCGCGTGCGATTTATGTTACTCGTTGGCGTGCCGCGCGCTACCACATACCAACCGTGCCTTTCGAGCCGAGTGTACGGTGTAAACTGATTATTGCTGTGTACGCTCGTACCTTCACTCGTACAGTCGTAGATTCCCACCAGCTATCCGAGTTCAATTGGTCGGTGCGTACCGGACAACGACGAGTCACACATTATAAGCTCAAAGAGAAAACTCCTATGAATTTCCTTAAAAAAATATTCTATTTTAAGTTTTAAAAAAAACGCTTTTTTCTATATTACAAAAGTTTGAAGTCTTGAGAATACATCTGTGAAACAATTATAAATTCAAATATGTATAAACTGTAAAGTGAATGGGTAGATAAAAAACGAAGCGCGTGAACTAAAATGGGCTCATAAGAATGAAAAAAATTTGCTGACAAATACTTGTATGAAGAAATAGAAAACATATTTATGATCCTAACTGATTAAATACAGTTACATCTATAATTATGTAAATATAAAATAACCAAATGAAAAACTTCAAATTCATTTTTTTCGAAACAAATTTTTCAAATTTGTGGAAGTGTTTATTAAAAAACTGTCAAAGATATTGTTTTGAAATTGAACATGTTTATAGAAAAGATGTTTTTCTCCTAAATTAGTAAAATAAAGGCAGTATTTACAATTTACAGTTTTATAATACAAAGAAAGATTAGAATTTTTAATAGATTGCCATTTTGTTACTTTTTAAGCAATAGTTCAAACAATGTAAAATGTCATACAACTTAACAAATTTTTTTATTTTTAATGATTTTTAACTTAGATTTTTAACTTAGATTTTTCAATTTCTTCTACAAATGGAGACATAACTTCAAAAGAAGCTAAAAATCTACTTTAAAAAAAAAATCATTGTACAAAATTAAAAGTTAAACACAAGTGGTACTATCTTTAATTTGATAAATCCTAAGTAATATATACATATCTTTTATATTTGAAAGGTCTTCCTATTCTAATCCAAGGTAGTAGCTTTAAGTAAAAAATGCAATATAAGTCGACACTGGATGATAATGTGTAAAACTTATGTATTATTAGCAATAATTGATAATTACAGACGTTTCATTTTATCATGATAATGATAAAATGATTTATTTTTCTTTTCGATCTCCATTTGTTTATAACTTTTTTCAATTTTATAAAATTAATCAAAGACTAAGGGTAAATTGAGCCAGTCGCAAAGAACCATTTTACAATATTGTTTTCAAAGTAAAAGAATTGACGTAAGCTGAGTAAGCATTACAATAAATATTACAACAGTTTGCTAATTATATTTCCACAAGTTCGCGTGGAAGAGTGAATCAATTAGTTCCCATTAAATCCATAAGTTTGATTCGTTTCAGTCGTCTCTTTCTCTTATCCCCTTCTTGTTTATAATTTAAATTAAAAATTTTTTAATTCAAATTACATCTTTTAATTAAAAAAGGTTTCTGTTATTAAATAAAAAATTTTTTACTTAAACCAACAATAAATAATTCTTTTAGTGTAAAAATAATTTTTGTAGATTTAAGAAAAATGATTTAATTAATTTTTGATTATTTTTGAAAGAAAAAAATTTTTAAACATATTTTTTATATTTAAATAAATTAATTTTCTTCATTCAAAAAATAAAAATTTTTTTATTTACGTTATATTTCAAATCAACAAAATTTTTTTTTAAATTAAAAATTCATAATTAAGAAAAATTATGTTCTGTATTTAAAAAATATTTTATTAAATTTATATTATATAATTGTTTTTCTTCAATTCAACAAATATTTCTTTTACTTTAGAAAAATAATTCAAAGAAATATATTTTAAGATAAACAAAAATTTTTTCTCCGTGCGTTATTGTAATTCTTCTTATACTTATTTGTAATGCAGTCTATAAATTCATAGAATTTCTTTACAAATTGTAATGTTTTTCTTCTTTTAAACTTCTCAAAATCTCGTTTCTGAATTATTATATCTTGAAATTATAATTTCATTTCAGATTCATACATTAGTCTATAACACAGAAGTCCTAAATTTGATAAATACAATAGTCAACAATCGTCACAATGTGTTTAATTTTAACCATCAAATCTGTAACATTGAGTAAAAAACGTTGAGTTATAAACGTTGTTATCTGCAAATGTATTTTAATCCAGAAATATAATTTATTCTAAATAGTGAAATAGATTAAATGATGGTAAAACTGTCTTGACGGAAATTGAAGGAGAGAATTTTTAATTTTTAACAAACTTGAGAACTAATATATGTTTTGCAAGGAATAAGGAGTTTCAGGAGTGGGAGAGAGGATAGTATTAAGAGTGGGAGAGCTTCCCTCTAAAATGGAAACATTTGATAATTTTTCTCTGATTATTAATGCCGAACTTTTATTTTTTTATATAAATTATCTCTGAAGTCATTTATTTGTAATATACGATGGTTTTATATTTAAGTTTTAAATTTTTTTCTCAGAGATGTCCTTAATACGAGATTGTGAAATATTTAGTAGGAAAATTAATATTTAGATCCACATTATAAACTGTTTTATTATTTTTTTTTACAATGATATTCCAGATCCAAGAATTTTTTTTTAATTGTACATTTTATTGAATGTTCATTTTATTTCCCTTTTTTTCTTTCATAATTTGAAATCATACTACAAAATCATCAGTATTTTTTCTACACATTAGTGACTTTATGAGAGAATAGACACTACGTTTAGACAAATAATATATAAACAAAGAAATAATTATGTCAGAAAGATATGCTGCATTGGCTAGAACAGTCGCATTAATAATCAATGACATTCATCAGCTTGTGCTCATGTTTCCTTAAAAATAATACTATAGAACGTGCGCGCGATGTCTGGACTTTATCTGCCTAACAGATCGAATTTATGCTAACGTTTCAGAACGAGAATATCGAATGGCTGGTAAGAAAGGCGGAGAACAGGGAGAACGCGAGGTTCAAAATCGATCGAGAGCTCAAGCGGTCTGCACAGATTCTAAAACCTGTTTCTCTGGTGTACTGTTTACACTTATAGGAGGTCTCTTATAAAAACAAAAGTCTGTAATTTGACGATAAAACTTCAATACGAAGTATATATA